TTACATCTCTCAAGATTAGATATTTTATATTGTATTAATTTCTTTTAATAATCTTCTACTCTCTCTGATCTACTCATAGTATTCTTATATGATTTCAAAAGAGAATCAGTAATAAGAATAAAAGTATAAGCTGTAAATATCTTTATCAGCTGTATTCAATCTGTATTCATCAATTCAGAAATGTCAGAATTCTTCATTAAATAGATGATAGAAACAGTATCAGTTGCTGTAGTTATAGTAGTTATAGTAATCTTCAGTATTTCTTACACTTTTATAAGAAAAATCACATTACTTATATCAATAATTTTATCTATTATAGAACTTTATAAGTGATAGATTAAATATTTACAGAATTTAATAAGCTTATATGAATCAGTCTATGCAGATAACTTCTATAATTTATAAAAGTGAGTAAAAATATCACTTTCAAGCTTATAGAAATATGTGATCTGTGATAAGATATTTATCAATACTGAAAAAGAAATTATATAAGAGCTATGAATAGCTTCTTTACTATCATTATTTATAACTGCAGATCAATACTTTTCATTATATAGAACTGTAGATATAAGTATATTATTTATAATTGAAATAACTGTTTTCAGAATATTTATTCAGAATTTCTTTGAAATCTTCTTACTAATGAGAACTACTCTGATACAGGTTATAATTGTATACATTTCACACTCAGACATGTTATCTTGATATAATAATTAAGAAGTAGTTGATTTTTATACTATATTATAATTGATGAATAATACTGTAATCTTCATGAATCTGAATATATTATTAACATCAGTTCTGATATATATTGATACAGTAAAATCTAGATTCTTCATGAATTAAACTCAGTGTGTATAGTAATTGTAAGCTTGATTCTTAATATATAAGAAATAGATTCATCTATATCTAGTCATATCATCTGTGATTAATATGTAATATTTATTACTCTGCTATGATTCAATAGAGTAATCTGTAGACTCACTTAATATTCATCTATCATCTGTAAAATCAATATAAATTCACTTTATTGAGTGTACAGTCTGTGATATAAAGATAATTGAGTATTTATATATTATATCTGCTTTAACACAGATGTTATAAAAGAAATTAATCTTGATATCTTTAACACAGATACTAGATAGTAAATTCTTTATCAATACTATAATAGCTTCTGTGTGTATATATCTCATATTAATATATCACTTCACAAGTGTTTTTGCAGTTATAGATAATTCTTAATATTGAGATTAATCAATGATGAGATTATTGTCATCAATAGTAATTATGACTTTAGTATAGTCATTATTATATATATATGATTTCACTGTGAAGTAGACTGCTTTAGACTTAATATACATCAACTTCTGATATTCTTTTAACTATTTTATAAATTAAGTTTTGAGATGTACAGATTACAGTGAAAATCACTTTATTTAATACTTTAATAATAAAATAGAATGAAGTGTTCAAGCTTGAAAGCTTATATTAAAAACTCTGATTCTTCAATCTGATAAATAACAATAGATTAACTGTGAGATTGAAAATATAATAAACATTATAAACAGTGATATTTTCTTCTTTAAATTCTAGAAGAAGATTGTTAATCTTTTTAATATAACTGTAATCTTTATTCACTGTATAAATCTTCATATTATTATTATACATCTTCTACTGAATGAGAAACTGCTTTTCATCTATTATATGAAAACTTACATATATATCAAGAAATCACAGTTTGTTTATTATATTAATAGTTACTGAAAAAGCAATTGCTGCATTGACAGCTGCAGATTGTAAGATTATAAGATCAGAGAATTTCTTCTTCTTATTATCTTTATTCTTCTTTTTACTCTTTCACTTACTGTGTCTGCTGATACTGATATTATTACTATTATTCTTTTCAGATATAATAATATATTTCTTATTTAACTTATATCACTGTTTAGTAGTAAGTTCTGAATATAGATATCAATAGATGTTTTTTCAGTGCTATTTTAAACTGTATATCTCATATTTAAAACTGCATGCAGATGATGTAGAGAGAGTTATAGTAGTTATATTAACTTACTGAGACTTAGAATGTTTATTCTTGAACTTACTTATACAGTTTATTAACTGTTTTATAAGATTATTAATATTGATATTATATATAAAGTTCTGATCAGACATGTAGAAATTGTCTAAATATATCTTAATAAAAAACTTTTAATGCTTCTTCAGACTAATAAGAAAGAGATTATAATAGAAGTCTTTTAAGTTATTTATCAATTTCTTATAATATATAATTAGATAACAGAATCTTCTCTGAAATACTAGATAATTATTATCTTTGATATATAAGATAATCAATTCTTTCACAATATTTATACATTTCTTCATAAATGAGATAGTATATTTAACTTCAATTCTTTCTTATAGTATGACTGTATTATCTGACTCAAGAGTTTCAATAATTATATATACAGACTTTAATAAGAACTGTAATATACAGTGATACAGTGTTTTAATATAAATACTTCATTTTTCAGCATTTAATACATCTTAACTAATGTCTTCTAAGCAGACTTATTGATTTTTTATAAGAATGTCAGATTTGCTGATAACTTCAGTATCTGTAAAAATTTCTGTATATCAGATCTCATAGTTATTATCATTAAATATAATTACAGCTTTAATATTCATGGCTTTTTGAACATTCTTTTAATATTCATAGATCTCAGATTTGAAATCATCTATCACAGAGATAGCTACTTAATGTATACTTATTCTATCACAGAATATTATCAGATTATTAAATATTATTAATATTATATTATCTGAACTTATTCTAGATATGATACTTATATATCACACTTTTATACACATTACTTATAAGCTTAAGATACTATCATTCAATTCATAATCTGCTTCACTATTTGCAGATGACTTCATGATCTCTTCTGTAACTTTTATATATTATATAGTATCTATTTTCTCTGATTCTTCATCAATAGATGCCTAAGTGTGAGAATGTGAATGTAAAGTTCTTCTTCTATCACTCTATGATATAGGCATATCACTCATTGATCAAAGAAGAATTGAATGAAGAAATTGAAAAAAAAACATGTTATATTATACTGTAGAGTTCTGCTATTTCAATTGCCAGTCAAGCAGATACACTTGAAATGTGCAATGTAAATGTAGTAAAAGAATTCTCCTATTCAGGGTGAACACATTCAATGCTTACACAGGTGTTTTTAAACAAAAGTAAGAAAAAAAAATGTAATCCTTTGTAAAAACATGCTATCCGGGCTATAACCTGTGAGATGGTTAATCCGTTGTATTCATGTAGGAAGAGCTAGCTATATATATATTACATATGAAATCACGTGTAGGCGGAGCGGTCGCTACGGCAACGCCACTAGGGCGGATGCTACATAATACTCCAAATCTCTTCATGCTTGTTACAAGTTGTATGTCTCACCCCCAGCCATTTTGGCCGATCAAAGTCCAAACGATGGCTCCCACTATATGCTACCGATGCAATTCCGCTCGTGCCCTCATAATACGCCCCAAAAACAGACATAAGCTCTGCAAACCCTGCTTTCTTGAAATTTTTGAAACTGAAATCCACAATACCATAACCGCCAACGCTCTTTTTTACCCAGGTGAACGCGTCGCAATCGGTGCCAGTGGCGGCAAGGACAGCACGGTCCTCGCCTCGGTTCTGAAAACGTTAAATGAGCGTTATAGTTATGGCCTGGAGCTTATGCTCCTCTCCATCGATGAGGGAATCCACGGATATCGCGATGATAGCCTGGAAACAGTTAAGCGCAATGCGGTGCAATATTCCATGCCTTTGGAAATAGTGGGCTACGGTGAACTATACGGCTGGACGATGGACCAAGTAGTTTCAGAGATTGGAAAAAAAGGGAATTGCACTTACTGCGGAGTGTTTAGGAGACAGGCGCTTGACCGCGGTGCTGCCAAGTTAGCCATTAAACATGTCGTTACTGGACATAATGCGGATGATGTTGCAGAGACTGTTATGATGAACCTACTACGGGGCGATCTACCTCGACTAGCACGGGCAACCAGCATTGTGACAGAGTCGACGGCAAGCGACATTAAACGGAGCAAACCACTCAAGTATGCCTATGAGAAGGAAATAGTACTGTACGCGCACCACAAGAAACTGGATTATTTTAGCACAGAATGTATCTATTCACCAGAAGCGTTTCGAGGGAGTGCTAGGACGCTGATTAAGGACCTGGAGAAAGTTCGCCCAAGCTCTATATTGGATATTGTCAGGAGCGGGGAAGACATGGCGAGGCTAGTACCTCCAGAAATAAGTGGATCCGGCAAATGTGCTACCCGTCCTTTGGCCACATCCACTGAGGGAGAGAGAGATGATTTCGCGGCTGGCGGGTGCGGTAACGAGGGCGGGAGGACAAACGACGGAGAATTGATTGAGATGGAAAAGAAACTGAGGAAAGACCGGAGAATTACTGCTAATGAAACCGAGATTTCACCATATAGGAAACCTCAAAGTAGAGGTAGAGGTCCAGGTCAAAAGCAGGTGAAGTTGCAAACCATGGGTCAATGCGAGCGATGTGGTTATATGGCTAGCCAAAGGATTTGCAAAGCTTGCATGTTGCTTGAAGGACTGAACAAGAGCCGTCCGAAAACCACGATCGAATTGGCTGTTGGGATAGATGAGGAGGAAAGCAGCTGGACGCTTATGAGGCAGATGGAGGCTGTGCGATTAACGAATGGAAAGTAGAAGTTCGGTGGTTTTCATTTCCCGGCATTCCGAATACCATCACACTCAGCCGTGTCTAGTCAACCGCCCTCATCGCCGCCCGGCAACCATACGTGGCCGACCTAACTGTCCTCATGATGTGGAATACTAGGGATTTCCCGTGGAGGAAGAGTATCCATGGATATGATATTTGCATTTGATGGTTTGATGAAGGTAGAGATTACGAGCTTGAAGTTTCGGCCTGTGAATAATAGAACTGAAATTCCATAGTGGATGAATTGGAGATATGACACGTCTCTATCAAGCATGCTGATCCGTCCGCCCCGTTATCCCGAGCTCTACTATTCCATTCGGATTCTTCCTTGCTTTATCAACCGATCGATTCTTGTCCTCAACGGTTGCCCAAATCACACAATTCGCTAGAATACCGTTTGATGGTTATTATGCTCTTCTTTAGTCCGTCCGTTCTCTAGGTGAAAACAACGAATAGAGATAACAAACCATATTCAAACAATATGAAGGATTAGTGGCGTGTTCACGCCTTACATGCACATGTACGGAATTCAGAAGTTCAAGCTGAAGAAGGCAAAAGGACCTGGCATTGCAACTAGACTCCCCATTTTTAGAATTTCCCCTTGCTACTATATACAGACACATCTTTCAAATCAAATGAATGACATTCCGGTGGCCCTCTAAAACAAGGAACTATATATGTTTCTTTTATAGATGGAACAATACCAATAAAACAACGGAAATAAAGCTATAAACAAAGCTCCCTACTAAACCATGAGCCGAAACCAAAGAGAAAAGATAATTTGTTACCATTCCCAAGTGCTCGTTTGCGTTTAGTCGTAAAATATCATGTTAAGCATGGGATTACTTGTTTTTCGCGATAAAAATAGAAATTATGTTTACAGCAGTACTTCACACAGTAGTCTGTTCAGGTAGAGTATAGTTTCCCGACTTAGATAAATGTAGATGTGGGGGTTGAATGGAGTATAAAGGGAGGGCGGCCGTGTTTTGGATGAGAAAAGGAGAGAGCTATACAAACTGCGCAATGCGGCGCGGTTATGCGTATACCGTTTAAGGCGGTTTTGAAACGCAATCCCTATGTAGGGTACACTGCAGCTATACCCTTGGAAGTTGTAAATATTTGCTGATGGTTGGCGGGGGTAGTAGGGGTGATAGCTACTGGCATGCGATTACAGATCCCTCTACCAATCCGCCTTTAGAACCCAACTTCCCACTGCCTCCGCGGGGTGGAGGTGAGAAGGCGTGCGTGATGTACGGATAAAGAGCTAGAGCAAAGGAGCTTCCCAGTTTTCCCGTCTGATTCTCATCAAAGCGGATTGTTTATGTGGAAAGGTAACTTCGCCATCCTTGCTAAAACCGATAGCCTGAAGATAGGAAATCATACTGTTTTTTAGACGAGCTTAGTGGATGGCCGAACGAATCGTTGCCAAACAGCGCTGAAATGAGAAAAAAAAAAAAAAAAAAAAAAAAAAAAAAATCCAACTCACTTTGTGTTATCAACCCTTGGCTCCATCATTACTGTTTCCGTCCTGTTATCAGCCAGCCAGCAGAAATGGACCAACGCTGAGAGCCAAACAGGGGCGCGGTGAGGACCTCTAAATTCCTCCTCGCCTACGAGGCAATGAAGGCCCCGATCATAGTTGCCTACAGGCCCAGGTACCAGAGGTCCTAGAGCGTCCTCCTTTACCCAGTAGATTTCAAAATATCCAAACGGGCGGCCATCCCAGCAGCCAAAGGCAGGGAATGAGTGTCGCGAGTTGAACTGAGCTTGGAGAAAGTTCTCTTGGACCGACTGGGGTCCAGCAACGCCCCAAGCCTTGTTGACTCGAGGATTATTCATCCATCTGGACAAGAGCTCGAGATCAGAAGGAGAATCTTCCGGATCCACAACCTCTAAACCCGTAGTTGAGGAAATTGAAGGGGCGCTCCTGGACTTTTTATGATAAATTTGTATGTTGCCTAGGGCTGATGATAATTTAGAAGGCAAGATTGGAACTCGAAACGACAGGGTTTGCCGTAAACTAGGGATATAACGGGTGTAAAAGACCTCACCCTGTCGGGGGGGCTTCTGGCGGAGCGGGTGGCGTATCCCATTCGTGAAGATAAATTCTGGAGGAGGCGGGGGAAAGAAAGTAGGTAAATTACTACCCGAAGTAAATGGATCGCCGCGCCTTCTAGGAATCACGAAGTTCATGTTTTCTGGGGGGCTAATTGTCCCAGTACTGCTCATGTCCGTCGTTACGGAGACAGAGTCCCGATCGGGGCTACCCGGGAACTCGAAGGTGGGAGGGGTGATATGCCTAGGGGAGAGCTTGAAGAGAAAAATGCGCGCATCAGTTTGCCAGAAGGTACGACGGCTGGTGAACATGTTCGTCCACCCAGTGGCATCATGCACGTCAGCCGGCCCACAGCCCACGAAGGAATCTGTAGTTCTGATTAAACCCATTCGCTCTAGTTTCTGCATGAGATGCCTTCCCTTGAAGATTCCCTGGCGCTTGATATAAACGCGCCATCCTCCTTTTGGCTTTCCTGAATCTGGGGTTAACTTGGACTCTTCAGTTGAGATGTGCGGGTCTGGAGCGGGCAGGTGAAAATACCACCATAGGGTTGCGTAGAGCAACATGGCGATTTGGCGAGTCGGAGAGGTGGCTGGTTTAAACTGGCTGCTGGAGGGAAGGGAAATTGACGAGATGAATAGGCAATCACTATTTAGAGTGGGTTTTACGAAACGGCCATGACGAAGCCCCTCTCTTGTGTTGGACTTCGACTCTTTCTCGGACAATTCGCCTGGCGGAGACAACGATGTTTCTCTCGAGGGAATTGCGCTAGATGCGCCAGATTGAGAGGAAGATGGGTGTTCGTGTTCGTGCTGGGAATTCAAGTGACCCTTCTCTGTCCGAATGACAATGGTCCATCCGGGAGGTAGGACGGAGGGGTTGATGGCCATCTCATTTAGCTTAAATGACACCCCCCCAAAAACAGCGGTGACGGAGAGAGAGAGCCCATTGGGGAGGTGGACAAGAGAGGAGGCCGACATATCAGGCTTTCGTGAAAGATTAGGTGGACTCGAAGATATCGATGCGGGTAATATCCACTCGGGCGCTCTAGGGGGAGTGAGCCTTCAAACTGTTCCGCAGCTAGAGAGGGGTCGGAGCAATGACGAGCCAGGTAACGACAATTGCGGTGAGAGCTGAGGACCGGGGGAAATAGTTCTTGTTGGCAGACAGCCAGCATCTTCCCTTTCAACCCTGAAAATAGCATGACATTAATCCAGAACTGTCTGGGTTGGAGTGCACAGTTGCAATAAGGGTTGTATAGCGGCGGTTGTCGGTTCCCCCCGCCACCGTTGGGTGGCGATTAGCCATTAGCTAACTATTAGTCACGCTTGGCAGACGTGACAGGCGGCAACTCCCGCTTTGCCTTGCATGGAATGGACTAAGGACTTGCCCCGCCTACGGCAGTCTATAGTGACAAATGTGTCAAATGAGAATTTTATACTCCGTACTTGTGGTTACAATGAACACACATCTGATTGTATTAGCAATCAAGATCTCCTCATTGGAGGTTGTATGAAATAATGACTCATATCAGTGAAGGACTGGGACAGTCTCTATATGCCAGTTTCTATATTCAGGGTCTCTATGCTCAGAGATCTCTATACCCGGGGGCCGGGGCCGCTCTATACTCGGGGGCTCTATACACAGGGCGTCTCTTCCATACCCGGGGGGGGGGACTCTAAATCTCTATGCCTGGGCCTCTATACTTGAGTATTTTTGAGAGATCTGTGAGAAGCTGTTGGCCGTTACGGCCGTTGCGGCTATTGGCTGTGGCGATCTCCCTATATCACGTGATCAACCACTAGTTATGTGTGGGATGGTTAATCCGTTGTATTCGTGTAGGAAGAGCTAGCTATATATATATTACATATGAGATCACGTGTAGGCGGAGCGGTCGCTACGGCAACACCACTAGGGCAGATGCTACTCTTGGAGGATAACGTTGTTGTGTTGTAATCTAACTACGCGAGTTACACTAAATGAATAGGTTGGGGTGGCACGTGACTAGGGTAGGTGTAGTAATCACCAACACCCCCCCTTGCTACACTGTGGCCTATAAGCCGCCACCCGGGGCCTCCCCCATCCTCAAATCTTTCAAAAATGCAATAATAATTAATTACATCAATCGGACCCTGATTTCCTTATTAGGAAAGGCGTCCGTACAGTAATAACTGTAAAAATCAAGAAATACATGCAAAATCCACTGATTCACTGTATCATTATTATCATTCAATCATTCCTTTCTGATCTCTTTCAAACCAATCCTTTTGACAAAATCTTCAAACGCAGGCTTCGCCAGTGGCTTGGTGAGCCCATCAGCTATGTTCACTGTAGAACCAACATGTTTCATCATGATTTCCCCTTTTTCAACCAAATTGCAATTCATCAACCCGGTGTCATATAAACAGGTTGCATTATCTGTTATACTCAACCAATAACTTGCACCCCCTCTAGTGGGGGTGTCATTCCCGTTGAAAAGTGTTTTTCCACCCCCTGCCAGATCAATGAAGAATCTCATTACCAGCTTAACAGCTCATGTCATAGATGTGAAGATTGAATGTGTCATTTTACACAATCATACACGGCATTTAGGTGTTCTAGCTACTTGATGTCATTGCAATCATTCGTAAGTTCGATCATGTCACTGAATGTAACCAGGCTTTTTCATCACTTAAATATCATTATCATTAAGCTTGCTGGACATGCAGTCAGGAGACATAATCAACATAGCATGATTATTCTCATATATCAACTGCTTATAGGTATAACTCTGATGTACAAGCTTACTCATACTCATGAGATTCACTTCTAACTTCAGGAAATAGCAGACATCATTTAACAGCATATCTGTCTCTCTCACTGAAATCTTTGTATCTTCTATAGCTGCAGCAGAGATCACTGTTTTGTCTGCTATTTTCAACATCACTTTCACCTTCTGAGGTTTTGTCATGACAAGATCCCTGTGAAGTGTGGTATGAGTGTCTGATTCAGAGTCTAGAATTCAGGTATCTTTTCCTGTCTGATCACTTGCATAGGTCTTTTCTTTGATGCAAAATACTTGCTTCATAACATTGTGAATAGAAGCAGTATCTGTATTCTCTGCATTCTTGTCTTTATCCTTGTTCTTACCGCGGCTAGTAGAATGTTTTTCAGGAAATTTCAACCAGCAATCTGTTTGAATGTGGTCAATCTTCTGACAATGATAACATGTTTTAATAGCATTATTATTCTTTCTATCTGACTTGATGAAATCTTTGTTCTTGTTCTCAGAGATCTTCTTCTTCTTCTTATCTTGAGTGTTATTTGCAGAGATCTTTTCATTGAAGATGAGAGATTCATCAGTAGCTGACAATTGTAGGAGAATATCTTGACACAATTTCATGAAATTATCTTTGAGTGTTCTAGTGTTCTCATTCTTCTCTATTGCATTCATTCAATTCTTTATAAAAGATGATCAATCTTTACTAACCCCTGTAAGAAGTCTGTTGAAAAACATGAAATCTTTGATATTATATCTCAATTGAATATAATCAGTTCTGATTGCAATTAAATGTTCAATAAATGCATGATCAGAACTCTTTGATTTTAATGTCATCTCAATCAATTCTTGAAACAGGCGAGTTCTGTGAACAGCAGGCCTCTCAGTGAAATTATCCTCTATAACAGATCATAGAGAATAAGCAGATAGTTGAGACTTCTTGAGTATAATAAAGTGAGATTTGACCTGCAGAGTGATTGCAGATTATATATAGTTATATAGTCAGATATTCTGTTCTGATCAAAAACATTGCATATTCATACTGACATTCTTGTCAGAATTAACCTGCTTGTCATTAAGAATGTCATCTATTTCAGATTGTCTTGCTGTGAGCAGAATCTCTTTCTTTCATATAAAGTAATTTACAGAGTCAGTGAGTATAACAGACTTCTTTATAGATCTTACTTAATCTCTGAATTCATTAAGAATCTTTATCAATGCAGATATTCTATTCTTTTATTGAAGATAGTTCATTAAATCTGTACTGAGCTCTTCATTTTCACTTCTATCTGTCTTCATTTGCTCAACTTCATGCTGAAGTCTTGCAATTTCTAGTCTCATGTGAGTCTTCTCACTCACAGAGTCATTATTATTCTGATCACTTGAGTTCTCTGCATTGTCTGATATCTCACTGATGTCTTTAACTGAGTCTTTGTATACATTGAACTTGTCAGACTGTTTCTCTGCAATGGTTTCATTCAGCTCAAATGCCTCAGAAGCTGTCTTTCAATTTATTATTAATATTAACAGTGATCTGTGATCTTATGTTTGCTGCTCTGACATTTTCTCGTTTCTCTGTCTTGAAGACATGTATTCTTTTGTTAAGTCAGGCATCCCCCCGGATCTTAGATTAATCATGAGTTCAATTAATCAATAAAAAACATCTAGGCACGCGTAATGATACATGGAGATGTAGTTGACATGTTATTTTACAGCTTTTCATTGCGTAGAGAGCTTTATAACCTCTTGAAGAATAACATTGTTATGTTGTAATCTAACTACGCGAGTTACACTAAATGAATAGGTTGGGGTGGCACGTGACTAGAGTAGGTGTAGTAATCATCAACAGCTACACTTCCTCTCACATCACTATGTGAGATCATAAATATTATAATAAAGAATCAATCATCTCTTGCAAATCTAGCTATGTCATTCTCAAATTCATTCAAATCATGCTATCTGTATTGAGTTTGTGTATTCTATCTCTCTTCATCTGTAAAACCTAGTAAATCAAGAAATTGATAAAATGCAATTGTACTTAAGAGTTTAGTTAATTTATTTACTGTCATTTCTTCAGTTGAGATGTAATTAATTGAGATTATATCATTATTCAACTGACTGCAGGTGTAATAATTATTATTATTATTATTATTCTTCAATTATAGATGTATGCAGTCAGAGACTATGATATCTACCTGAGAACTTTAGTTCTCAGAGTTTTTTCTATATCTGTAAAGTTAACTATTGTACATTCATCAATTTCAGATATGCAAAATCAGAAAATTCCAGCTCAGAATATAAAAACTGTTTACAAATTGCAGTGTTTTAACATCTTTTGATACTTTGAAATCATTTGACAATATCATGACAAAAGAAAAGAGAGAAAGAACACAGTCTCAAAGATAGACACATTAAATAGAAAGATAGAAAGAAATTGAAAGAAAAAGATACAGAAAAAGAAAAAGTAAAGAGAGACTATAATAAAACAAATTCTTAAAAGAGAGTGTATAGCTGTTTTAACAGACTATATCTAATTGATTTCCTTCTCTTCATATTCAGATAATTCTGAATTTAGTCATTTTCTTATAGCTGCTTGAGTTTCTGATAGAAAGTCTATTAAGTATTTAATTCCTGTCTTAGTTGAGAATAAGAATCTTATATTTAATTGATTTAGATTATACTTCTCTTTCAATCTGGCTTTGAGACTATTGTATAATACACAGTGCATTATAATATGCTCAGAATTCTCATTTATATTACAGAATGAGCATTCTATTGAGTCAAATCTATCATCAAATCTTTGTATATAAGATTTGAAATAGCCATGTTCTAGTTTCAGCTGTATTATAGATGAGAATATTTTCTTTTTACATTTAATTGAACAAGATTTTCACTTGAGTTTTGTTTCAAATCTTGAATAATGTATACTCTTCTTTTGTTTCTGCCAGCTTTCATTTCACTTGTCTAAACAAGATTTCTTTATTTTTCTCTTTATAAAAGATCAGAATACAATTTTTTGAATAGATCTGTTTAATTCTGCACTCTTTTTTACAGCTGAATCAGTCAATTCATTATCATGAATATTCATATGAGCAGGAACTTAGTGCAGATGAATTCTCAGCTTTGATATTCTTCTCTTTTGAATTTTTAAAACAGAGTTTAAGATCAGTTCAAGATTCATTTGATTATTATGAATCTGACTATTTCTAAGTCTTTTTAAAGCAGCTTAACTATCAGAGAATATTCATATCTCTTTCAAACAATTTTCTCTTTTATAAGATTTTATTTCAATGAGTTTGAAAGCTTTCACTATTACAAATAGTTCAGCATCAAAGACTTCACATTCAGAGCCTAGATTTCAGAAATCTGAGATAAAATTAATATTATCTTCAGTATAAGCAATGCCTGCATCTAATCTATTCAAGTTCTCATTTTTTGAGTCATCTGAATAAATCAGAATAGAGTCTTTTATATTGATTGTAGAAATTCTCTTCAAATGCTGTTCATATTCTTTCTCTTTTGATAGTTCACTTATTTGTAAGTCTATAAGAGATTCAAGCTTTTTTCTTCAGAGAGATAACTTCTCATGATCAACTT